TGGGCCATTTTTTCTAGAGATTCATACTTTGAATTAATATTCATCATTAACCTGGATCTGATATACTCCAGAGTAGGGCTGGACAGTAATTCAGTAGTTCAATCTATCTATTGATAGACATGTGGTGCGATAGGGGAAAAAATGGGTTGATGAAACATAATTAAAGATGTTTCCTTTTTTCATTATAACCTATAAGGTAGCAGCATACTAGACTCACTACTTACTCCTCACCAATCAAAACCACGCTACGTCACCAGGCCCGCCCCTCTCAAGCCAAAACAGAGCATGAGGCAGCATGATGTCACAGCGTGAAGAGGCGGAGAAAAAATAAAAATACCAAAAATGAAATGGCCAGGGCTGCACGGAAAACATAGTTTCAACAATTTTAAAGAGGTACTGCACACCATCAGAAAACTAACTCCACCCCTAGTCAAGATTTGAAAAATGCCATGAAAGTGGTCGTTGCCAGGAGGCACAGAGTAGCATGGCCAAGTGTGGGGAATTTCCATCCTGGGAGGGAGGGGGAGTGGGAGGAGACCGTACCGATGACCTAAAATTGTTCCAGCCCCAGTCAATAACAAGTTTAAAATGCAGTAGCCACCGTTCTGCCACAGGGCGCAGCATTAAGATGTTTTTTGACCTATATTCTAGATTTAATCAAGTGTAGACAAACATGTCAAAAACAGTGGCAGCTTCAGAATTTTCTTCTGCAGGTGCTATGAAGGAGCTAGTCTTTTTATTGAGGGTGATATGAAGGAAGTGGGCATGCGTACCTACTGTTCTCTAAAACACCTTCAACACTAGCAGATACACATGCGTGCACAAAACCTCAACAACACCTGAAACAATCATTAATGTACATCATAAACATTTGAACAATCACTGACTTGTCCATGAAATCATAAACGCATACAGCCACACAGAAAACCATTTAGTGTTGCAAGGTTAGCTAACGTTAGTGTTAGCATTTCCAGCGGCAAAACTCTCGACTGCTGCGGCGGTTGAGGGTTGACTCTCTTCATCCAGATCCGTAGGTTTTTGTGGGTCTGAGATCACTTCCAAAGATTCATTCGTTTCTGACAGAATCCGCGGAAATTTGGGCAACAAAACCCGATCTATTTTACCACTAGCTCTACCTTTCACTTGTTCACAGGTGGATAAGGCCGGGGACACACTGGCCGCGGAAGCGCCGCGAAGCGCCGCGAAAATGGGACCACCTTCATTCGGCGCCCTTGTTAAGCTATTCTATAGACCACATGGGCCGCCGAAGCGCCGCGAATCGCCTCGCGCCGGCGCGCGCCGGCGCTCCATCCCGCGCCGTGCAGCGATCATTTCGGCGTTGGCTCTATTTTTTTCGCGAGCCGCGGGTGAATCGCGTCAATTCTGGCAGGAAGTCAAACGTAGACATAAGAGGCAGGCCGGTAAAGTTAACAAAATAAAGCATTTCAAAATAAAATTCCGCAATAGTCAAATGTGTTCGTAAACAGACACTGCAGAAAATCCACACGAACACGCACACACATACACACACATCGAACTTGTGTGCGTGTGTGACCACGTGAAGGGGGGAGTGGTTTTGGGTGTCTTTTCACCGGAGCAAACAGGACAGAGAGGCAGAAAGTCTGAGGCAAGCAGTTAGGATGGATGACTTTAAATTAATTATGGAAGTTGAGAAACACAAGGAGCTGTACGACCCCCGAAAAACATGATTGTTTACGTACCCATGTCGGAAGAAACTGCTAGGATACAGCTGCAGAATTGGAGCGGGTTCCAAGAGATTCAACTGGCAGAAACAACTCATACCATAGGTTCACACACACACGCGCGCGCGCGCGCACGCGCACAAACACTCAAACGTAGGAAAAGAGCTGAGAAAAGGCAGAGAGGAAATGGAGGACACCAAGTGTTTAAAAGAAAAACTACAGCTGAGCCGAGGCGCGCCTCGACTGGGGCGCGTCTGATCTGAACTGAGGAGCGGCGAGCAGCGGCCGAATTTCGTGAGCGATTCGCTTCTCGGCGCTTCGCGGCGCTTCCGCGGCCGGTGTGTCCCCGGCGTAATGAGGTCAAAGTTTAACATCAATTTCCTGATTTGGTTTAAGGTTTTTACTATCTATATGATCATTTATTGATTATTTTTTGTTTTGTATGTTAAATATTATCACATCCATACATTAAATTAAAATTAAATTGTAAAAAAATAAAAATAATCTAATGTTTACTTGGGGGTGCTATGACTACTCCAGGGGTAGCTATAGCGCCCCCATGTCGCCGCCACTGGTCACAAATGCACCAAAACAGAAAGATTGCATTTGTGAAGACCCAGTTATACAGTTAATTAGCAAAAATGTTATTTTGGGGTTTAGTTACTCTGTAAAATATCTTCCAATAGTTATCGATCAATATAAGAACATTTTTATTGATATATTTTTTTCTATAACGTCCAGCCCTACTCCAGCTCTACTCCAAATAACCAAAGAAAGTTAAAAAAGAAAAAAACAGATTAGTCCTTATATTTTGATCATTTTACCATCAAAGGCTTGAAAACATAACACTGGCAAGTGTTGCTAAAAAAGAAAAAGTTAATGGTGCGACTTGAAGGCAAACCTGCATGAAACTACACACCAGTCTCACACTGCAACCACTACACCAATGAATCTAACGCAATGAACATGTTGCCCTTGCCAACATAGGTGTCTTTCTAGAAGGGATGTATGGTTGTCGTTGCAGAGTTGAATTATTTCAGAAGTAATTTGTCAGAATATCCAGGTTTCAGAAATTAGACCAGACCAACTTCAGGGGGAGGAGAAAAGCCTGGTACACTGTAAAACCTGCTGAGTAAGTTTAACTCAAATGAACTGAAGAAAGTGGATGCCATTCAAGTTCATTAACTTAAATTGTTAACGTTTAGAAAATTTATTTGTTTGAGTTGAGTCTAATTAAATATATCATGTTATTTTAAAATGTGTGAATAAATTTCATGCATTAGTTCATCTAAGTTGACATAACTTAAACCATTCTTTTTCTCCACTCATGTCACAAACTCTGCCTTCAGCACTCTGCTTCAGCACCATGGAGAGCGGCACGCCGCTCATCAGCGCATAAAAGCTGACACACCCACAGAGCGAGGAGGAGGAAGTGGAAACAGGAGGCTCGTGAGAGGGATAGACTTAAAGTGGAAGGAGCCAGGGATTATGGTGCATTCCACCTTTAGGGAAGATTTTGTAGCACTGTAGGTTTGTTAGACAAGCTCCCCTTTCTTCTGCTCGTTTGTGAGTTGGACTGAAGCAGGTAGAGGTTTTTATTGGTTGGTTTCCATTCCCAGTACCGGTAAGGCCCTTGTGAGTATTCCGAGCCAAACCCACTCTCGGTAAGAATTACGTTTTGTTTACAACCTGGTTGATCGTATCGGTTTGCCATTTGACGTGATGCACATCAGTAGAGCTTTTGTTCCCATCCTAGTTGAAGGATGGTTTGTTTAGTTAAAACAGGCACTTTATTTAATACCTTATTAAAGTAAATTACTCATTACTCTTAAGTTTTTCTTCTTCGTAATAGTCTGCACCACAGCATGCTTAAAGGTAGCTGGGACCCAGCCTGACTGTAGGGATGTGTTTTCTAGATGAACAAAAGGACAGATGGAATCAAAGACTACAGACGGGCAGGGAGACAGTCAGCGGGGCAGTTTGTAGGCTGCAGATGCTGCATCACCTCTGATAGAAACGAAAAAGAAACAGGCACAAACTGATTGAGAACAGCTGAGCACAGCAGAAACAGGAGTGTCTGGAACATTATAACTGCCAGAAGACCCGAGGGCTGAGATTGTGTCCATAAAAAACTTTTCACAAAGCTCAACTGATGCAGCTAACACAGAGGCACCTGTAGGATTTAAAATTAGCACATTAAAAAGAACCTGTGGCTGTTAGAGGATACAAGAGCAGAAAGATACTGAGCTTTGGCTGCTTTTACAGCTAACTGGTATTTGGTTACGCTAGGCTTCAAAATCTCCTTAGAGATGTGTAACTTGTCTTTTAACCATCTCCTCTCAGCTCTCCTACATTCCCGTCTGAGAGCACGCATAGTTTCGTTCAGCCGGGGTGTTGAGTGCTTTTCTTTCTTTGATAATGTGACTGGAGCCACTAAAGCCTGATTTATACTTCGCTGTCTGCGTCGGTACGGAGACACGCAACGCCATTATGCGTCGGCACAAGGGCTCTCTGGCAGGCTCACAGAGGGTGACGGAGACATGCCCAAATTTTTAAACATTCGTCGAAAGTGACCGAGACCGCAAGCTTGTGATTGGTCAGGACGCCGCTTCCTGTATATTCGTCACTAGCACCGCTGTAGCTCCGTTAAAAGATAAACAGATATTTAGTGGCAGACCCCAAACAGATTAAAGAACGCATCGCAGAGTCTCTGAAATATATAAACACATTAGTAAATGCACTATCGTGGACCAGATAGATGAGTGTTATGGTGGCAGGATACCACAGAACAGCGCTACGCCCTCTGTTGTCCTGGCGGGGAATTGCTTTGCAACACTCCGCTGCCTGAACAGAAGTTCGAATGTGAAAACCTTTCTGACACTCCGTGTGTGTCTCTCCATTGCAAAGCTTTGGAAAAGTATAAACCAGGCTTTAAACCTCAATGCAGGTGGAGTCAAACATGGCTGACAGGATCTCTACAGTGGTATTAAAACCAGCATCCAAAATAAAAAGAGGCCCGGCCTTAAAAAGCTGCAGAAAATTTGGAGGCAGTAGATGTCATGGCCTGAGGTATATTGTTCCCCACACTAACCCTTCTCCTGCAGGTGGGCGGTGCCGGAGGGCTGCCCTGCTGCAGCCAGTCAGCTGCGATCACCGGCTGGCTATATGAGGAGCAGTCTGAGACCTACACGATGTCGGATGATTAACTCGTTTGGGTATACGACCTAGTCTCGAGCTCTGCCGCTATCTTTGAGCGTGTTTTGTTTTTGTGCCCTTAGTGATTGCTTTTTCCTACAGCAGATATCACTCTACATCATCTCTCCAGCCATAACCAACGGATCTCTTCTCCACATCGTCTCATCTGCTCAGCCAGCCGACCCTCTCTCTCTCTCTCTCTCCCTCTCTCTCTCTCTCTCTCTCTCTCTCTCTCTCTCTCCCCCGCCTGCCTCACTTAATGTTTTGGACCCCTCATCATCCCCACTCCACGTCTCCAAGGATTGGATCCTGTTTTGAGCTCCTCTCCACCTCAGGCCAGACCTACCCTCTCCTCTGCATCTACACCTCTCGACCATAAAGTAAACAGCTCCACCTCTTTTACTGTTTTGGGATTGTCTGGGCGCGACGAGACGTGTGACAGTGTGGTGGGAATCTCCCATTTGGAAACAAAACCTTATAATTCAAGCCTATGGACATGAATTGTCCAGTATATATGTCGATGGTCATCATCAGATGAACGAGGTGGATTAAAAGCAGCAGAATATTTGCTAGCTGTGTGTCACGGCTGCCAGCCTTGAGTGAGGAGCAGGAGCCAAGATCACAAAGCTCCAGTGAATCAGCCTGACACCGCCCCTCCTTCTCCTCTCCCCCGGGCTGCTGAGGAGCACAGCTGAACTGAATCTACCTGATGAAGCAAACACCTGCATAAAAGGGCTGTGCCTTCAGCAGTCTGGGAGGCAGCAGTCCAGGGGTTCTGCTGTCCTCCTGGTTTTTGTGTGTTTTCAACCCCTTTCGTTTAGACACATTTGGATTTGTTGGAGTTTTAAACTGTGATAGTTTTAACGCTTAGTGATAAAGTTTGGATGATCCAGGGGGGTCATTTTTGTGCTCGGTTTTTTGTAAAGGTTAACTTGGTTTGTGCAATTTTACTGACTTCGGTCTTAAAGGCCTTCGTGTGGGTAAAGCTTTTAAAATAAGCTTTTACCAGGTGTTTTAATCAGTAAATTGTTTGGGACTTTTATCAACCTCAGGCTTTTAGAACACCTTCGTTTCGGTAAACTTTTAATATAAGCTTCTACCAGGTGTTTTTATAGTTGATAATTCGTGATGTTAACCTTTTAGAGAGATCTGTTTGCTTGTGTTTTAATACCTTTTGTACGAATAAACCCATTTTAAACTCCGCCGCCAGTTCTTATGTTACCCCCATCCTTCACATTTTTACCAACACATGTCGGGGATGTAACACTGTGCTCTCATTAACAACGCTGTTTCTGTCATTGTAGGGGCCCTATGCAAGATTTTGTTCTGGGGCCCCCCTATTTTGACACAACAATTGAACGATAGCCTACCTTAGATGATCTATAAACTCACCATAAATTGCAAGCAAAACATGGTACAGTATTAAAATTAAACTCTCACTCAAGACATATAACTAACTAATAAAAACTAGAAAGCAGTTAGAGTGCAGACCTCCACCCTGGGAGGGGTGTTCACGTCACACATACCATAATAAAGGGGCTAAGTGCACGTGAACAAGTATGACAACAATTGATTAAAGATTCCTGTATCAAGACAGTGATCAAGATCTCGATTTTTCTGATGGTCTGAGATTAAATTTAAGTATAACTCTGGTTTTATTGGGCTATTAACATTTAAAGCTGGTGTGTGGTTCATAATTGGCATTTAAACCAAAACAGGATGTAATAACAAACAAAATAACTGATTTGATATTCCTTCAGAAATGTATGAATAGAAACTGTAAATGCACATGAACAAAAAATCTGAAATAGCAGAAATCAAGCCCAACATGTATTACATCCAAGCTCCAATAATTCGGTTCTGGATTTGAAGCAAACAAGGAAGTGGCTAAAATTGCAGTTTCACTCTCATCCACTTGGGGCTGGTGTCAGAAGTGAGCAAATCCTCATTGACTCCCATGTTGAAAATATCAGTTTCACAGCAGAAATAAACATGTTTACAGCCTGATGCCAGAACATGTTTTAGATTTAATAGATCTAGTTTACACTCATGACGACTCTGAGGGCGTGAATTATTTTGTAACTCTTATGTTTAAGTGTATTAATTGCCTAAAATTCTGAATAATTAATGAGCATCAGAGCCACATGCCTTCAGAGCTAGCTTATATTTATGTATTTTATTTCACTGCTGCAATTGCGCTAGCTGAGCTTAGCAAAGTAGCTAACTAACTACCATTTTAACATGTACTGCATAACCATGAATTTTAAAGGGGCATTATGGAAGTTTGACAGCCAAAACATGTATAGAAATAATAAATGTCTTCTTCATACATTCTCCTGCAACGCCCTGTAGAATGAGCCCTGGCATTTTTACTGTGATTGCCTGTTTTTCTGTAAAATCACAGAAAAAGAGAGTTGCTCGGGTCGAGCAGGCTGCTTCATGCGCGTTCACGCTCAGGCATCGCCCGTAGCATTTGCTATCAGCAGCTTTAGCAGCAGAGAGTGAGGTAGTGCCAACTCAGCGACTTTGTCGCTGTTCCTAACGCCTAGTGATGAACCTAGCTACATTTCTGAGGACCCTTAGCTACTTTCTTCAAGATATTTCCTGCAAATTAGCAACACAATAGTCATTTTCGTTCTGAGCCATTCTTTGAACGTTGTTTCAGCTGTCATCAAGGATATAAATATTACAGATACAGAAGACCTCACTGGTACTATAGCTCACCTAGTAAAATGGCAGACTCTCGTGCGGAAGACCTGGGTTCAATTTTGGATGTGATCATAGTTTATTTAGAGTTTCTTTTTTACATTAATGGTATATATTTTTTTTACAGTAAGATGCCCAAATTTTTATTTGAGACTCGCCGAAAGGCATTGAATTCACAGATAAAAAAGATGTGGGTTCAACTTTCATTTTGGAACAATTTTTCAAGCAAGGGAAGGGAATGATCTGAGCATGCAGGAGGACTGACCCAACATAAAACTTTATCGGCTGTGCTGAAGAGAAAGGTACAGAACCAAATTATTTAATTAATTAGCTGCGCGTTCTCCTGTCCCCTGTCCTCTGGGCCACACACACACACACGGGACTGTCTCAGCTGTTATTTTCGTTAAGGAGTGTGCACGTACAGCATGCGCGCCTCGAGCATGAGCCTACTATTGAAGCTGCCGTTACGCTTTTGGCCTGAGGGGGCAATCGCGAGCATAAAACTCCGTAAAGTCCCTTTAACTTTAATAAGGTAAAACGCTGTGCATTTTACATAACTCTGCATTTTTGAAAATGGGTTGTCGGTAGAGCTGGTCCCAGATGATATCGGTGTGGTCTTGCTCTCTCAGCGGTAGCTCGGCGCATCTCTGACCGCAGCAGCGCCTGTCTTCTGCGTGGGTCGACCGCTTGTGGAGCTCTGGGACTCGGAGGGAGACATGACAGTTAACTGCCGTGACCGAGCGGGTCACTGACGTGACTCAGATGCAACGCTGGTTTCCAGTAGTCCATATGGCACACATCTCTTCTTAATGCCACATGTCCGCAGTAGTAGTTATTGTGCACGATAACCATCCACTGCCACATCTGTCACATAAATGGTATCTGCATCTCCTCGGAGTAAAGTACTTTAACCTCAGAATTCTGCCGTACTACTTTCAGTGTACTTAGGTAGCTGACCTTTGTCACTCAATGTTTATTAACAGCACCGTGTCTACTCAAACTTTAACTCTTCATCTTCTGGTGACAACGAAATATTCACTCCACATCCATTTTTTTAACCGTTTCTCTTAGCTTAAACCCTTTATTTATTTCCTTTCCCTTTAACAACAAATAGAATCACTAACTATTTACATGACAATGTAGGCTCTCCTAACTTATGATATGTAAATAACAGTTTAGGTTTTTTTCTCGAAAAGGATACTGTTTTACTCTGATGGGGGATCCAATATCACTGTGGTCACTGGCGCCAAACTGCAGGGCTTCTTCTGCACTCTCAATGCTGGGTGTTGTGGCGCTCTCTTTGGATGTTTCCATCCCTTGCTCGGGTCCCTCTTCATCTCCCAGCTCCAGTGGTGCAGCTTCAATGTCTTCTGTGGCTCTGCTGTTTCTGATTCTGACTCTGAATGTTGTTCAACTTGGTCAACCATATCAGGTTGCGGTCCAATTATGGATGTCCACTGCTCATCTTCATCTGAAGTAGGTTCCTCTTCTGTCTGTCTCTGGTCCCATGTTGTTCTCCTGTTTGTTGTTTTAGCTGGTACCTCCATGCTGGTGACAGGGAGGAAGTCGCATGGGAGCAAGAGGTTCCTGTGGATGACTCGGACCCGTCTCTTTCCAGTTTCCGGCCTAATTTCATACACTGGGCTTTCTTGGTGTTTCTTCTGTGTCACAACATACACTCTGTCTTCCCAATAAGATCTCAGCTTCCCAGGCCCTCCTTTCTCAGTGAAATTAAGGACCAGCACTCTCCCGCCATGGTTCAACTCTGCACCATAGATCTTTTTGTCATAATGTGTTTTCCCTTGCATCCCTTCCTTCAAAGCCGTTTGAGAGGCCAGCTGGTATGCTTCAGTCATCATTGACCTCTGTTTTTCAGCATAATCTTCATGGGATGACCATTGGTCCTTTGCCTTGAGGCCAAAGATAAGATGTATGGGAAGCCTGGGCTGACGGCCAAACAAGAGGAAATACAGCGCAAAGTCAGTGGCTTCACTCCGCGTGCAGTTGTAGGCATGGTCCATCTTGGTGAGAGAAGCTTTGCAGTCTGTTTTGGCATTTACTGGTAGATTTCTAAGCATGGATAAGAGTGTTCTGTTAAATCTTTCCACTTGGCTGTTTCCTTGTGGGTGATACGGAGTTGTACAAGATCCTGAGATTTTACTGTATTCTTGAAGCTTTGCAAACAGCTTACTTTCAAAGTCCTTCCCCTGGTCATGGTGCAGACGAGTTGGGAATCCAAATCTCAATACAACGTCTCAGAAAATCTTGTCTGCTGCTGTTTTGGCAACCTTATTTTGACAAGGGTAGGCCTGGGCAAATCTGGTGAAATGGTCCACCACAACAAGGATGTATTCAAACCCTTCTTTACATTTCTCCAGATGTAGGAAATCAATCGAAATCATCCCGAAAGGATAGGTGGTGATGATGTTGGTAAGAGGAGCTCTGACTGGCCTGTTAGGGCTTTTGTTTTTCAGACATTTGCAGGATGGAGTAGCTGTGAACGACTTTTAGTTTGCCGATAAAGCAATCCGTCGTCACCAACGTAAAGTTTTTGTTTTTGACTCACCAGCGCCGCCGTTCTACTGTTATCATAACGGTGTCTCTTTTTGGGCCGCTCATCAGATAGGACATACTTCAGCACCTCGCCAGTCACTGGGTCCTCCCTTTGAGCCTCCTTTAGAGTGGTTTTTGATATTTCATTTCCTATCAAAGCATCATTTTCCTCCACTATGACCGTATTGATTATCCTTGGACACAGCCATGTGTCTGCTTCATGGAACTTGACAGTGACAGCCTCAGTTACACTGTTCATGACTTCAGGTTGCATTGCCTGTGTACACATTTGTATGTACTGGTCCATGTTCAGAGGCATCCTTGACAATCCATCTGCACCTTTGTTAGTTTTCCCAGGGCGATACTTTATTGAAAACTGATAATCGGCCAACTCAGCCACCCACCTGTGAGTAGTGGCGTTTAATTTAGCTGTGGTGAGCAGTGTTGAGACCAATGTGGTACAAAAGTAATTAATTACTGTAATGCATTGCTTTTTGCTGTAATGTGGTAGTAAGGCATTACAGGGAAAGAAAATGGTAATATTTACTCTGTACAATTGTCAGTAAAATAGTAATTACAATGCATTTTTAAACCCAGAATCAAGATGCGTTTCTTAAAAATTCAAATTGTGGGAAACCCGAAAAAAGATCCAGTATCTACATGTATTACGTCATTCATGGACTCAGCTTTGCGGGCAGAGAGGACGCAGCGGTAACGGCTCAAATACTCCAGCTGCGTCCTGCACGCGGCCGCTGTAACATTCACAAAATCGCTCCACTAAAACAAAATAATTCACTTGCGATCGTTCACATCAGCAGTGGCGGCTGGCCAGTAGAGGGCGATAGGGCGCCGCCCTCCCAGTTTTTCCGTGTTTTTAATTTTTATTTTAAAAAATAAATAAATAAAATTAACAATAATCACATATTCTAAGTTAATTGTGTGTTTT